CCCATCGTATCATCTCGTCGGCAAACCACTCGTACATACAGTACATTATCTGACTTCGTTCACCCTTCGTCACAACCTCTCAACGCATCCGACATTCCGACGGTAGACCTCGTCGTTCCCAAGACTTTGGTCATTAACTACCGTCCGACGGGTCGTTAGGGTTCCCGAAGCAAACGCGAACCCGACTTCCGTCACAATTGAATTGCTTCCAAACTTCAATATTGTAATATAATTATAATATTTTATTTATATTAACTTAATAGACAAAGAGTTTTTACATAAATAATTGAAATAATAAACATAAAACTTACATTGGGTGAGACATACATCTACAAATAATATAAGCACCAATATCAATAGGCACATGTACATTATATCTCACATTTACACTAACTCATATGTATAATTTTAGATACAAATAAACTTTTTATCCCAAAACAAACTTATCAAATAATGAGGAATTTGTTTTATGCTAAATAAATTTTGAATCTGTTATTAATTATAAATAATCACAATAGAAATAACGGGAATTTAACATAATGATTTAAATAATACATAATTAATTCAATTGAATAAAACTAGTTTGTTTTTGTTTGGAGATGAAGTTGACATCAAAAATATCAGTTTTTATTTTTGGCTATTCAACTTTGTATACCACCAAGGTTGTTCTTATATAAAATACTAATTAATTAACAATGGGTGATTAATAAAACAAATATTAACAATAATCCATTATAATTTTAAATCATAAAAATATTTATTTATTTGTAATAATTATATCTACATTTACATTGTAGATACATTTACAATAAATATGCAATTTTATAATAATGAATCAAGAAATATAATTAACCAAATATTAATAAAATTATTTTATTTTATTTTTAGTTTAATAATATCATTTCAATATATCTAATAGAAATTTATTTTATAATGGTACATTTCAAACAATTTTTTATATTAACCAAGTGGTCTATTGTTTTAAATAAAATAAAAACATGTTTAATAAAAACTATTTATTGTATAATAGGTTTTTAAAATAACTATTAATTACAAACATTAGTTTTATTAATACACGATTATTACAATTTCCAATTTATCAGCAATGCTTGAGCTAATAAAGTTATTATTTATTGTATCCGGGTGGTTACTCATTATGTACCCAAGTGCCCAAAGTTGTAAAATTGTAGCGGTCGCCCAAGATACAACCTAGAACAATTTTTGTGGAACTGACGTATTAGCCAGCTAAAATCCCATGCGATTATAAGGGTATTCGCTATTGAATCGCGCTGGTGGAAAATCAGTTTTGCGCCAGTTACGATCTAAACTATAAATCTGTTTCATGTCGTCCTGGGTCAATTTGAAGTCAAACAAACTAAAATTTTCAACCAATCTGTGTTTTTTAGTTGTACCGGGTATAACTACTATATTACGTTGAATGAGCCAGCGCATTATCACCTGGGCAGGCGTTTTGTTGAATCGCTGGCCAATTTTTACTAATATGGGTTCATTTAATAGAGTTTGGTTTGCTTTTGCCAGTGGGCTATAGGCCTCCACTCGTATGCCCAGACGTTGACAAAATCTAACTAATTCTACCTCGGCCAAATATGGGTGTATTTCGAGCTAGATTAAAATACATTACTTATAAATAATAAGTTTTTATGATTATAAATTATATAAAATTTTACATTTTATAATTATAATTAACTATTTGTGTTTATGAAAGAATGATTTAGATAATAATAATTTAGTCATATAATGAAATGACAAAATAAGTTTCATTAAAATGATTACCTGATTAACCACGGGCTTAATCTGACACTGGCGCATCAATCTGCATAGCTGATTCACATTAAAATTAGACACACCAATCGATTTGACCAGGCCAGCTCGATAAACATCTTCCATACCCTTCCACGTCTCCACCACTGAAACATTTGAGTCACGTGTCAGCCCATCGGGGGTGAGGGGTATATCTTCGCCACCCTCTTCAAACCCAAACGGAAAGTGTATTAAATACATGTCCAGGTATTGTATATTTAATCGCTTTAGGGTCAGCTTTAGACCCTCGGCCACTTTTGCCCGGCTGTGATAAGTGCACCACAGTTTACTAGTGACCCATATGTCCCGCCGCTGGAGGCCAATTCCGTCCGGTCCCGACCCGCGCGGGCGGGAAAATATTTCCCGTAATTTTTCCCCAACAAACCGCTCGTTCATATAGAAGTACGCGGTGTCAATGTGCCGGTACCCAACCGCCAGACCATCATCAATCACCTGTTTGATAACTGTTTCGTTTGTGATGGTGAGTGTACCCAAACCGATCATGGGTATCCGACGACCGTCCACTAATTTCAACGAGGGCACCGTTTGCGCTATGTACATAAGAATTTTGATTTTACGTAATTAAATAAAAATTAAATATATCAGTAAAAATATGACGTTTTTTAACTGATTTCATTAGAAATAAAAATATTTTAGATGTAATAATTAATAATGTTAAAACTATTCATCTACAGTCTACTTGATATTTGAGTGATTTTATATATAAATAGTTAAAATAAACATTTTTAAACTGTATTTTTAAATTTAAATAGTATTTAATTATATCATAAAACAATAAAGTAATATAAAATGGGAACATAAAAACCCACACTTAACATTTTTATTTATTAATAAAATTTAGTCGACTTATTAAATAATTCAAAAACTTTATATTTTGTAAATTAAGATTTTTAATATTTCATTTAAAATAAATTTATACACAAGGACTATTATAAATATATAAAATAATAATTAAGATATATTAAAACTTACATTGGGTGAGACATACAACTACAATTAATATAAACAACAAGATTAATAAGCTCATGTACATTATACCTTACATTAAATTTACACTAGCTCATACGAATAATTTTAGATAAAAATAAACTATATTTATTCCAAAACAAACTTGTCAAATAATGAGGGATTTGTTTTATGCCAAATAAATTTTGACTTTGTTATTAATTGTGAACTTCACAATGTGAAGGTCTCTCTCTCTCTCTC